AACCCCTACATGCCCTAACCCAAAACCCAAAACCCCAAAACCAAGCCCCTAGACCCCATATCCTAAACCCAAACCCCAAACCCTAACCCCTAAATGCCTTGACCCTAAACCCTAAGCCCCAGACCCCTAAACGCCCTAACCCCAAAACCCAAACGCTAACCCCCACACCCCTCAACCCCAAACCCTAAAACCCCTAAGCCCAAACCCCCCAACCCTAAACCCTCAACCCTCAACCCTCAACCCTCAACCCTAAACCCTAAACCCTAACCCCCTAACCCCACACCCCACACACCCTGGCTGCGAAGGCCCTTGCGCCCCATGGTCGTCGTTCGAACCTGCGGGCCGGTCCAGGGTTTAGGGTGCAGGGCTGAGGGTTTAGGGTTTAGGGTTTCGGGTTTAGGGTTTAGGGTGAGTGCATCAGGGCGTTTTTCTGGCATTCAGAGTGTCTTTGGGGGGGGCATCTAGGGTTCACAGCTTCTGGCTTAGGCTCTGAGGGCCGAGGACTTCAGGGCTTGCATCGGGTTCAGGGTTTAGGGCTTAGGGTGTAGGGTTTAGGGTTTAGCGTTTAGGGCTTAGGGTTTAGGGTTTAGGGTTTAGGATTTATGGTTTTCGAGAGATGAGAGGCGGGAGCAAAGACCGAATGAACGCTAAAATTTGGGACCGTAGCCCCTGTGCTGCTACATTCCCCGCTACCCAGACCGCTGGGAGGATCCCTTAACCCTAAACCCTAGACCCTAAACCCTAGACCCTAAACCCTAGACCCTAGACCCTAGACCCTAGACCCTAGACCCTAAACCCTAAACCCTAAACCCTAAGCCCAAGCCCAAGCCCAAATAGTACCCTCCACTACATTTTGGGGCATTGTTAGCAACCCTTAAGGGGATCTACTTTTTGGATCCTCAGCGGGGTCTGGGATCAGGGCATATGAACCCCGAACCCCCTCAGGGTTAATTGGGTCCTTAAGGTACATCTAGACCCTACACCCTAAACCCTGAACCCTGAACCCTAAACCCTAAACCCTAAACCCTAAACCCTAAACCCTAAACCCTCTTTTGTGGTTCATTTGGTCCTTAAGGCTAAGCTTGCTAGAGGCCTGCACAGTGGCCCAGCAACAGCTGCAAAGATCGTGGGAGATCCACCTTGTGCTACGGGCGCCCAGTAGTAATTCAGGAAGACTACTTTAGGAGAGGGGGTTAGAGCTTAGGCTTTAGGGTTAGGGCTCCTGTAAAACTGCTGTACGCTCAGAACCTACAGGAGGGTGTCGGGCCTGGGTCAACAATTTGTAGCAGCAGCAGCGGGCCTTACACACCCCCAAGACTGAACCCCTATAACGTCAAACCCTAAGCCCTTAACCCTTCAAGCCTAAGTCCAAGTAGTGGCCCTAAACCCAGAGGCCACCCTAACCGGGCATATCCCCCAAAATGGGGACCTTCCTTGGTAACCAAATGAACTGCCTAAAATTGGGACCATCCACCCTTTGCTACTATAATCCCCATGAAGGCACAGGAGCCACGAACCCTTTTAGGGCTGATTTGGTCCTTAAGGTTCATATCATATAGACCATAGGATGCTATGAAGCCCTTTCTGGGAACTTAGGTGGGGGTTTTTTAAAGCTTAGGCCTTGGGGTTTAGGGTTCTAGGGCTTTAGGGCTTTAGGGCTTTAGGGCTTTAGGGTTTAGGGTTTAGGGTTTAGGGTTTAAGGGTTAAGGGTTTAGGGTTTAGGGTTTAGGGTTTAGGGTTTAGGGTTTAGGGCCCAAGAAGGGACCCGCAAGTCTCCGGAAATAGCCAAAGCCATCCCAGCAGGGGGGGGCCCGCCCCGCGACAGCTCGCCTGGGGCCCCGTCAACGCCGGAGTCAAGCGCGAGGCGGGTTGAGAGGGTTTAGGGTTTTAGGGTTTAGGGTTTAGGGTTGAGAGGGTTTAGGGTTGAGAGGGTTTGGGGTGCCGGGGCGAGTAAACCTTAAACCCTCAAAGCCCTAAACCCTACCCTGAACCCTAAACCCTAAACCCTCAACCCCAAACCCTAAACCCTGAACCCTGAACCCTCAACCCCAAACCCTAAACCCTAAACCCTAAACCCTAAACCCAAAACCCTAAACCCTAAACCCTAAACCCCAGCCGGAGCAAACTGAGCATGGGCATTTCTTCGGGGTCGTGGTATGTGCTCTCCTGGAAGGTCTCCGCGGGAGATGTTGTGGTGCGATTCATACGAGGCTGTACTTTGATATGCACGTTCTGAAGCCTCAAAAGAGTTCTTGGTTCACAAACCTGAGTAGGAATTAGAATGTATAGTAGTATGGTCTATGACCCCTAAACCCCAAATGCTATGTCTTCTATGGTGTCAGATGTTGTCGCGTGCCGAATTGGGTTTGCAGGCACTGAATCAAATCGAGCTTGCGCTGCTAGATTCGTCGCTTATGGCCTGCCATCCGCACGTTGGTTTCGGCTGCGGAGGTTTAGCGCAGAATGTTTTGAAAGCCCTCCCCAATTTGCAGCCCACGCCATGCTCCAACCGACACGTGGCGACGAAGTCCGGGCCGCGTCCGAAAAAGTACGGGAGTTTCTTCTCACCGCCTTGGATGAGAGGTTTGCGCAACAGGAGGCAGTGATCCGAAGACTGCTCCTTGATGACATGAACCCCCAAGAATTGGGAGCATATACCCTACTTTACTGCTACTCTAATGCCTATTAGGGTAATATGAACCATATAACCCTTGCAGGGTTCATATTCATATTGCTACGATAGTGACAGTTGTCCTTATTAGGGCATAAGAACCACACAAGCCCATCGAGGGTTCCTTGGGTCCTTACTTGGAGGTTCATGGTACTTCGAACTGTACTTATCACCATATTTGGGCACTTGAGGGGCTTTCTAAGTGGGTTACAAGTACAGATAACTTGGCTAATAAGTACCCCTAAACCCGAAACCCGAAACCCTAAGCCCTAAACCCTAACCCCTATCAACCCTAAACCCTATACCCCAAACCCTAAACCCTTCAATAAGTACCATTGAACCTCCTAAGTAAGGCTGGAGGCCCATCTCCAGCTCCTCCGTCCCGCCGTGGAAGAGGTCGAAGAGGTTGCGAAGGACGCTCCTGAAGATGGGCCACCGGAGCCAGGCGTAGCTCGGTAGGGTTTAGGGTTTAGGGTTTAGGCTTTAGGCTTTAGGCTTTAGGCTTTCGGCTTTAGGCTTTAGGCTTTGGGCTAGGCCCTTGGGACATTTTACATTTTCCTTTTGGGTTTAAAAGGATGATGTTCAGGAATATCTTTCAGAGGGTTTTAAGGCCATCCTAGGTACCAGAAGCGCCGCCGGAGACAGCCATGAATGTGGACGATGGCGGCAAGGGCAAGCAGATTGATCAGAGCCAGAGCACTCACACCAGAAACCGCGCCACAAAGCTTGAGAAGCGCGTGCTGACAGACATGACGGTCATGGAGGAGGCCTCGCGCTACCGCGAGTGGGTGAAGGGCCCCCTGGACATTTTCGTCGCCATCGTGGTCATCATGAACTTCGTGTGGATGGCTGCATGGACCCAAGAAGTCGGTCATACGGCCGACGTAAGCCTTGGAGTTGCGAAGTCCGTGGCACCGAGTTCCGGTGTCCTGACGGAACTCTACAGACCCGTGGACGTGGCCTTTTGCGCCATCTATCTCATAGACGTCCTCGCGCGGATGCTGGTGCTCAGGAGGGAGTGGCTCTATGATGAGGTGGACGGGTTCATGTTTACGAACGTCTTCGACCTCTTCCTCGTGTCGGTTCACCTGCTTGAGATCGTGTTGGCAAACAGTGGCAGCGCATACCAGCAGGTCAGCGCTCTCCGCGTTTGGAAGCTGCTGCGGCTGGTGCTCAGCGTCCGAATCATTAAGACGGTGAACTTGTTTCGGCAGCTGCGTGTCTTGATCAGCGCGTGCGTCTCGTCCTTGAGTGCTCTATTCTGGTCACTGGTGCTGATGCTGCTGCTTACTTCGCCTGTGGTTGAACTTTAAACTTCTTGGGCTTCCTTATTTAGTAGGAATCTTGAAGTTTAACCTTTTTTCCCTTGGTTATTGGAGAAGTAAGGCTGATCGAGCTGGGCTTCACGATCATTATCTGCCAGTCGCTGCAGGACTTCATCTTGGACGAGCAGCAAGACCTGGAGACGCGAAAGGAGATCAACGTCCTGTACGGCAGTTTCGGCCGGGCCTTGTATACCGTCTTCGAGCTGACCTTCAGCGGCGGACGCTCTGTCATAGTTGGGTAACATTTTTCATTCTTAAGGGTACTTAAAACCCAATAAAGAATCACAAATTGAAATTCTTAAACCCAATAAAGAATAAATAATATAAATTCTTATTATTACCCCAACCATGAACTATAGGATGGATCGGCAGGGTCCGACCCGTGGTCGAGAAAGTCAGCCCCTGGTTCGCCCTTCCGTTTCTCGGCTACGTCACGGTCGTCGTGTTTGCCGCCACGCGGATCGTGACCGCCATCTTCCTCAAGGACTTGGGAGCCATAAGTGGTAGCCTTTTGCCCCTTTTTTTGGTTCAAGGTTCCCTTAGTAAAGTAACCACAACCCACCCCCCCCCCCCCCCCCCCCCAAAAAAAAAAAAAAAAAAAAGGGTGCCCTTAGAGGAAACGCTGGCCAACGCAGCCAACGATGCCGAGATACAGCTGGCGGAGACCAAGCGCACGGCCCGGGGCCTCCAGGAGAAGTTCGAGGAGCTGTTCCGCTCTCTTGACGGCGATGGCAGCGAGTGCATCTCCTTTGGTGAGTTCTGCAACTTAGTAGCTGATTGAGCACACTTTACACTTATTTGGGATACTAGAACCTCTACAAGACTAAAAGTGTACACTTTTTGGGGGGGCTTATGAACTCAGCAACTAAGGCAAATCCATGAGCTATCCGAGCGTGCAGCAGTACTTGAAAACTCTCGACCTAAATGTCCAGGACTGCGCCCAGCTCTTCGAGATCCTCGATGACGGGGATGGGAAGATCACGATCTCCGAGTTCTCTCACGGCCTGATGCTGCTCAAGGGCCAGGCGCGCGCCCTGGACATCATGGTCCTGCAGCACGAGAACGCCAAGGTGCTCAAGGAGTGTCAGGGAATCCGGGAAGCCCTGCGCGCAGGCCACGCACCCAAGCCGCCGGCGAAGCCGGTGGAGCCGGCGGAGACCCCCGCGCAACCTCCCATTCCACCCGCCTGCTTTCCGCCGGGATGGGTGCCTCCGCTGCCTCCTCTGATTCCACCTGAAAAGAGCTCGGCATCGAAAGGGATGCGAGCTTGCACCTGATGCGTAGGAATGGCCGACTTCTGTTTTGGGGACCAAGTGAACCCTAGAAGGGTTTAGGGTTCAGGGTTTAGGGGTTTAGGGGTTTAGGGTTCATGCTGAATAGGAATTATAGTAGCATAGGGTCTATGACCCCCAGTTTTTCGGTTCATGTGGTCCCCAAGGTCAAGCCCCTAAACGTGGGTGCACCAGAACGGACTGTCCACTGTGTAGCTTTTTTGACAAAACGCCAGGCCTTCAGGGTTTCTGAGGGCTCTTCGAGTCTTTCCTCGTCTTTCTTTAGTTTTGGCTTAGGGCTTCGGCTTTCGGGTCTAGGATTAAGGGCCCCTTTACACCGGGCACTCTGAACCCAGCTGGACTGAGACCCACAAGCCTTGAAGCCCCAACAAGTCACAATAGCAAGCTATTCAAGCCCAGCCCCCTTACAGGGATCTTATCTGCACTATGAGTTTCGAGGCTTCTGAGGTAAAATCCTGGCTCCAACAATCAACCGATAGCCCTGAGCATGTACAACCGGGTTTAGGGTTCAGGGTTCAAGGTTTAGGGTTTAGGGTTTAGGGTTTAGGGTTTAGGGTTTAGAGTTTAGGGGTATCGCTTCCTGCCGCATCTACAAGTCGAGCCTGTTGTCTTGGCAGCCTCGTGGTGCCCCCTCTTCTTTCCCTGATTCTAGGGGTTCCCTTACTTGGTAGCCCAGTGGTTCCCGTTACCCTTTGTTTGGTTGTGGGTGCCCTTTAAAAATAGCCAACCCCAAACAGGGTGCCCGTATTCGAATATGGTTACTGGGCTTCCCTTATGACGTGCCGTAACTTTAGGGTGTAGGGTTTAGTGTTGAGGCACAGCTTTGTAGTCTACACTTTTTTAGTAGCATTTCTGGAGCCCTAGAGTTAGGGTTTAGGGTTTAGGGTTTAGGGTTTAGGGTTTAGGGTTTAGGGTTTAGGGTTTAAGGTTTAGGGTTTAGGGGTCTAGGGTTTAGGGTTTAGGGTTTAGGGAGTTCTTCCCAGTTACCCGATGGCATCTTGTAATGTACGAGCAGAGGCAGCGGAGGTGCACAGCGTACCACAGTTGTTAGGTCAGCATCTAGGTATAGGCGCTTGGGACATTTCATATTCTCCCTTATTGCGTTCAATAGGACCAGAACTTAGGAATCGTAACCCTTCAGCCGTGTGCGGTGTGACAGGCGTTTTGCCTCAAGGCTTGCAGACTGCAATCACCATCACTCCCCCGCTCGATCTGTCCTTCTTCGACTTCACCATGAGCAGCTGGCCTCTGCTTGGCTCTGTAGAGGAGATCGCTACACCTCGCAGTGTAGCTCAGCGTCTCGGCTTTGGGTCTCTTCTGTATACCCTCTACTCAATGTGGGGATTTACGAACATAGGGGACCCCTTAGTATAGTCCGCCACATAGTAGGATGCCCTTATCACGAAGGCACCAAAAAGGTACCCCTAATTTCGGAAACCCCCCCCCCCATTTTTCGTCTGAGAGAGAACCCTAAACCCTAAACCCTAAACCCTAAACCCTAAACCCTAAACCCTAAACCCTAAACCCTAAACCCTAAACCCTAAACCCTAAACCCTAAACCCTAAACCCTAAACCCTAAACCCTAAACCCTAAACCCTAAACCCTAAACCCTAAACCCTAAACCCTAAACCCTAAACCCTAAACCCTAGCAGCATGCGCCTCTTAGGATCTCTGATGATGAGAGCTCCCTCGAGTCGGCGTCTTGGTAGCCCGGTGGGTACCCTTTTCCCCTTTTGTTGTTCAAGGTCCCCTTTGCAAAGTAGCCAACCCCCAAAAAGAGAAACCTTGTCAGAATATGTTTGCTGGGCTACCAACTTTGTCATAGTGGGGCCACATTTTGACATCTTTAAGGGTACTTAAACTCAGTTTGGAATGGAAATAGAAGTTCAATACCATCCCAGCCAAGGAGTCGGATGTTGCGACCTTTGATGATGCGTGCAGCTGTGCGTCGACAGCGTCGCCTGCGAGCAGGCGAAGGCGAGTAGGAAGGCTTCCGCAAGCCGTTGCCGATGCAGGAGCCGGGTGCTCAGGCAGCGGACCCCCATGCTTCTTTCACACACAGTCCCCATGTCTGGCATGGTAGGTGATGGTATCTCGCTCCATGCGGGTGGTTGTCAAAACTATGGTCCCTTTTTGGCTCCCAAGCATAATGCGGCACCCAATATTTAGGGTACCCCAATAGGGACCATGATTTTGACAGCCACCCATGTGAAGCCGCACATAGCATGAAAGCAGCTGAGGTGGCACTGCCGCACGCTTACTCCCGCTGGGAGTTTGAGGCCATGGCCACCGCAGCCATTCGAGAGCTGCGGGGGCAGTCGGTGAGCTCCCGCGAGGCCCAAGTGGCTTGGTAGCCCAGTGGTCTTCCCTTTTTCCCTTTTTTTCGGTTCAGGGTTTAGGGTTCAGGGTTCAGGGTTCCTTTATAAAGTAAGCAACCCCCCAAAAGGTTAGTTACTCTTCTTGTGATATAGTTTCTGGGCTGCCAAGGTGGTGTCCTTCCTTGCGCCACGTGTTCCCGCGCTACTTCGTGGGCTGCTGGCGGACAAGGAGCCTTAAGGACGAAATGAGCCCTACAAGGGTTTTTGGTACATAGACTTTAATTGGGATTTTAGTAGTATAGGGTACATGACTAATTCAATAGGGATTATAGTAGTATAGGGTACATGACCCAGACTTTAATGGGGATTCTAGTAGTATAGGGTATATGACCCCCATTGTAGGGTTCATGGTGGTCCCCAAGGAGTGGAGGACGAGCCTCGAAGCGTATGGCTTGCCGAACGGCTTCGCCGCCGTGCGGCTACTGGAGGTTGACTCGTGCCACCTGCGTTTCTGGGCTGTGCTGCTTTGGGATGTGTTTTTTTACGATTTCTCTGATTTTTTTTTGCTTAAAAAAGGGAACCTATCCATAAAGTAATTTTGGGATGGCTTGAAGCACAACTTAGGTTTGCATTTCTTCAATCAGGAGGCGAAGGTTGAGGGCTTGCACAGCCACAAGTGGAACTTCGAGTCCTGGATCCTTGCTGGACAGCTCAACAGTGAGGAGTGGAGGAAGTGTGAGGCTGCTTTGTCATAGTTGGGTAACATTTTACATTGTTAAGGGTACTTAAACCCAATAAGGAGCATAAATTTAGATATTTAATGCTATCCCAACCATGAACTAGGCTGGGGAGGAGGCCCAGATGGTCACCGGCTGCTTCATTCGCAGCAGGTTGGCGGGCGCGGGCCTACGGCAGTCGACCCTCACCTGCATTTCGACACATGAGGAGATGGTCATGCTCAGGCACGTGTCGAACCAGGCGGGGACTTCGTACTACCTGCCGGATGACGTGATACACAGGGTCACCAGAAGCGAGGACCAGGCGTGCACCTTGGTCCTCACTCACCCGCCAAGCCGAGAAGCGTACATCTATGACCTTGTGGAAGAGCACGCGGACGCAGCGGCGTCGCAGGCGACCGTGCACCGTGCAAACGAGTCGATGCAAGACGACGAGCTTGTCGCACAGCTCTTCGCGCTGCTTGACAGGCTCAGACCCCAGAAGAGTAGAGCTCAATAGCCGTCCCCAGGCGGACTTAGCTTCGGCCTTGCGGCCGCTTCTGCATATTGCCAGAACATGCTACAGAAGCTTCAAAAAGATGCATTTTTGATAGGTCTTCCACGACAGGCCCTCCTTCTTGCTCGCAGGCTTGTCTACAAGAGGCTGTACAGATTTTCGTCTCTTGGCTTTAGTTTTTTGGAGGTTTTTTGGGCCACCCAATAAACCCTGTACAGGGACGCTTCTTGAAGGGCCAGAGTGCCCGAGATGCAACCACTGCGCTCGGACAATTTTTTCTGGGAGCCACACCTCCCCGTGCCCACCAGGATGGGCTACTGCACCCCGCTACATCCCTTGCAAGGCCTTTGCTATAGGGTTCATTGTGAGGTTAGAAGGCCGAACAGCCCATCCTGGTAATATTGCACCCTAAACCCTAAACCCTAAACCCTAAACCCTAAACCCTAAACCCTAAACCCTAAACCCTACACCCCAAACCCTAAACCCCAAACCCTAAACCCACAAAAGTATTGCCAGGACTCAGCGGGGCAATCCCCGGACTTAAGGCAGTCCGAGGGAACCCCAGTGCAGGAGCAACAGCCCGGAGCCAGAAACGGCCGAAAGCTGGCGTGTGGCCATGACAGCACGTTGCAGGGTTTAGGGTTTAGGGTTTAGGGTTTAGGGTTTAGGGTTTAGGGTTTAGGGTTTAGGGTTTAGGGTTTAGGGTTTAGGGTTCAGGGTTCAGCATCTCAAGTCCAAGCATTCACTAGTCAAGAAATTATTACTCCAGAAAAATACCCACCCGCCCGAAGAATCCCACAACATTAAGAACATATTTCACTTATGGAACGACCTTGCCCAGTAAAAAAATGACCTTGCCCAGTAAAAAATGACCTTGCCCAATAAAAAAATGACCTTGCCCAATAAAAAAATGACCTTGCCCAGTAAAAAAAATGACCTTGCCCAGTAAAAAAATGACCTTGCCCAGTAAAAAAATGACCTTTCCAAGTAAAAAAATGACCTTGCCCAGTAAAAAATGACCTTGCCCAGTAAAAAATGACCTTGCCCGGTAAAAAATGACCTTGCCCAATAGAAACATGACCTTGCCCAATAAAAAAAATGACCTTGCCCAGTACTGACCTTGCCCAGTAAAAACATGACCTTGCCCAGTACAAAAATGACCTTGCCCAGTAAAAAAATATCCTTGCCCAGTAAAAAAGTGACCTTGCCCAGTAAACAGATGACCTTGCCCAGTAAAAAGACGACCTTGCCCAGTAACATTTTTACTGGGCAAGGTCATTTTTTTACTGGGCAAGGTCGTTTTTTTGGCCGAAACGACCTTGCCCAGTAAAAAAATGACCTTGCCCAGTAAAAAAAAGACCTTGCCCAGTAAAAAAATGACTTTGCTCAGTAAAAAAATGACCTTGCCCAGTAACTCCTTAACATTTAAAGTAT